TTTCTCCTCTTCCTTCTCCTTTTCCCTTACTTAGCCCATTAGGAGAGAGGCTCTCCATCCGGCCTCAGTTTTCTGTACAAATAAATAAAAACTGGCATAAAATACATGCTGCACAGGGTGTGGAGATGCGCGTTGGTGCACCTGTGTTACAAAAGGGTCCCCGCCTTCATCGAAGAACGTTCTTTCGTATTCCATCCCCTCTGACAGCCTCGCTTAGGTTTTCTTTATTCTGCCTTCTACTACTATTCGTTTTTTCACCGAAATTACAAGCGTCATTTTTTAATTTCCTGTTATAGACTCTCAGAAGCTAACTTGTCTTTGCCTACCTTCCCCAAACCAACCCCACTGAAACCATTGTTCTTACTATGAAGAACACGTATGCGTGACCCAGAGCTGCGTCTTGGAGGGTGACCTTTCCTTTCTGGTTCTACTTTCCCAGAAGTCACTACTTGTCTTCTTTCCCATTTGCTGAGCTCTCTGGGTCCCTGCCACCCACCCCTCGCCCCTGGGAGAATCCAGCTCCTGTCCCTCCCTGCGGGCCTGGGAGGTTCTCAGGAGTTTCAGCTTCGAGCTGCCTCCCCGGGGTCCTCCCGCTCTGCTCCGTCTGCACAGGCACTGGCCCAGGCTGGGCACACGCTGTCCTCCTCACCCTGTTCCCACACAAGAGCGTGGTCTCTGGATGTCGCAGCTTTCCGCGTGTCAGCTGACTCCAGAGAAAAGGCACATCAGAGACAAAAATCAGGGCCGACCAAATAGCTCAGGGGATTAAAGCGCCTGCAAGCAGGCACAGGAGCCTTGCCAGCGGTCCCCGGGCCTGCAGTGCCAGCCCCGCCCCTGGCGCACGCTAGGGTGGCAATAGAGACTAGGCAGTGGCTCGCGCCTGTAATCCCAGCTCTTGGGAGGCTGCAAACCGGCGGACCACTATGAGTCCGACCTAGTAGTGAGACCCTGAACACCCTGTAGACCCCTCCCTAAAAAAAAGAGAGAGACACAAAAATTAGAAATCTTACATTAGGATCTAAATACACCCTCCCCCTTCACCATGGATTGCAAGTTTGCTAGGAATTGGATTACAGTTTGGAAACATGTAAATAGGATGTGGGAGTCACTACTCATTAGCGTTTAGCTGACCAAGCTGTTCTGCCATGCTGATTTCTGACCGTCGAGTATGTCACATTTTCTCTTTAAAAACGTGTAGGATCTTCTGTTTGCCTTTTGTGTTCTGAATTTTCTCCATGTGCCTGCTTTTGGTTCTTCTCTCATTCACTGTGCCTAGTAGTGTGTTGGTCCTTTCAGTCAAACATGTGTCCTCCAATCATGCAGAGATTTATTAAATATAATTATTCCTCAGAATCCCTAGAGAATTAATGACAGGACCCCCAATACTCAAAATACTCAAGATATATATATATATATATATGTGTGTATCATTTGCGTTTAACCTGTGTACATCTTCCTGTATACTTTAAATCCTCTCTAGATGACTTAGGATGCCTACTGCAAAGTAAATTCTATGTAAATAGTTGTTACACATTGCTTAGGGAGTGATGAGCAGAAAAAGTCTGTATATATTCATGACAGATGCAATTTTTTAAAAAATATATATTTTTGACTGGTGGGCTTTGGAACCCAGATGCAGAGGCCTTCGGTACTGTAGTTAGTCATTTGTTTTCTCCATGCTCTCCATACTCTTTTTTTAAAATTTGTGTGTGTGTGTGTGTGTGTGTGTGTGTGTGTGTGTGTGTGTGACCAGCTCAGCCCGCCAGGGGGTGGGGCTGGCTGACATGTGGTGCTGGGGGATTGAACCGCGGACCCTGTGCTTTCCTAAGCTTGTTCTAAGTAGGTGCTTTAGACCACTGAGCCATCTCTCCAGCCCCTCCATACTCTTTTTTGAAATCCTGTTCCTCAGATGTTGGAGCCCCTGTTTGGTCTGATTTTTATAGTTCTGTATAAGCCATCATCCTTGCCTTGGCTGGCCCCATGGGTCAGCGGTGCCTCGGTTCACAAACTTAATTCTTTTCCATGATTCTGGTCGCAAACTGAATTAGATGGGAACCAAATCAGATTTCCCCAGAAGGTCAACACTGAGCCTAACTACTGAATGTGATTCAGTTCTCCTCCAATTTGGTTTCCAACCAGCATCCTAGGAAGGAAGAATTAAGTTCATGAACTGAGGCACCGCTGTATGTACCACAGTCTCATCCTTCAAGCTAATACATTACTAAGCCTTTCATTTCTGCTCTTTTTTTTTCAAAATTTTTTTGATAAACAGATAGCAATGAGACAGTTTCAAATCAAATCGGAAGTACAGATTCAACAACACACTGCATATATTCTCCTTAGTGGTTAATTACTGTACATTCTACTCTTTTTTAAAAAAAATCTTATTTTTCACTTCTAATGCCTATTTTTTGTTCTTAAATGTCCTTTTATAGCACTTTATCCTTCTTTTGTAGATACGGTATTTTCTCTTGTCTCTTTGAAGATATGTGTTCTTACTTGTTTTAATTCCTACCTGCTTGCTTTCGTTTCTCCTGGGGTTCTCTCTCCTGTTTTTCCCCATTTCTTTTTCTTTTGTGTTACACGCTTCCCATATTCAAGAGCCACTGAAAAGATGATCAAAACCTCAGTGGTCGTGGGTGGGGGCGGCTGTTGTGACCTTTCTCTCAGGATGATTTAAGTGAGCTGTGTCATGGGGTGATCCGTACCACAGTATCTTTAGATATTTCTCTTATGGTGGTTGATTACCCAGCAAACACAAAAGTCTGTTCTGTTGTCCAGGGAGCACAATTCTGTCTACCATTATGCTGAGATCTTAACAAATGGGGTGAGCGGCCTCTCATACAGCTATAATCTTATCTCCCATTTTCAGGGCAGATTTCTATCACTGCCTGGCAGTTGGGTTCCCCAGTCCCAAGATCATGGCTCACCCTTCCCAGAAGATGAAGCACCAGTCTTCTGTTAGAGAGAGGAGGAAATGGGGAAGCCTGAGTGATGCTCATTGATTTCCAGCCTTCTTTCTTACCTCTAGCCCACTCAACTTCCTTGCCTATCTCCAGCTCCAATTACTCCCAGTTCTGAGCCCTGTGGTGGGGTGTCCAGTGGCTTCTAAGCTCTCTGCTGGCTCCCATTTCAGTTTTCTTCAGTTTGCTAAGCTGTCCAGTCATGCATTCACTTTCCAGGCCCTGGGTGTAGTGTCCCTTCCTCTGTTCTCTGTCCCTATGCCTTTTGGAAAAATTCCTTTTACCAGGTATTCTGAAAGACCAGAGGCAAGCTACTGAACTGGAAACTTGTGTGTGGTTCATCTTTCTTCTTTTTCTTGGCTGTAGCCAGATTTCTTTCAGACCCTCAGAGTACTGAAAGGCTCATTTGCCTGACCAAAACCATAATAACAAATGGAAGAAACAGGGACAAGAGGGGACTCGCTCATGGAAGACCTGATGTCTTCCTCCCAAAGGTTGAGAAAACTGCTATCGAAGTGTTTCCATTTTAAATTTCTCCCACTTATAACAGAAACATATAGAAAGATTTGGGAAAAGCAGAAAGAAGAATTATTCTAATTGCCTGTTTCTATACCAAAGGAAATTTGTTTTCATGTCAGCATATTTCCTGCTAGTACTACTTGGCTGCTGGGGCATTAACATTGCAAAGGAGTAGGGACAGAATGGAACACTGGTCACCTGCATCATGGTCACCTGCATCACGGTCACCTGCATCACCACAGCCTCAAGCTGCTCCTCTTTGCTTCCTGTACAACCCCAGAGCCCGACGCTCCTGCTGAGGGGTGACTCTTGTCACACATTCCACAAGGTCTCACTTAAGACAGAACTCCCTCCTGCAGGGGAGTCAAGGGCCAAGAAAGGGGAACCCCAAAGAAAACAAGACAGGCCTTGGAAAGCTGCTCCCACAGTGGAGCCAGGAGAAGCCAGGCTGAACCCAGATGAGAGCAGAACCTGGGAAACAAGGCTAATCCCAGGAGCACAGAGGCTGCCTTTGGCCATCAAGAAAGAGCGCGCAGAGTGGGAGGTTCTTGTTGCGATACATCAGCTGGGAGGCTGGAAGTGGGTAGCGCTTGTGGTGCCTGGCGGCAAAGTTGGCCATTGCTCTAGTGGGTAGGAGAAGTCAGCCACCGTGCTTGTTGGATCAAGATGTGGCAAAGGTGCAGCCACCTCCCGGAGCATCAGTCCGATCGACTTGTTACTCTGACTCTACACACACACACACACACACACACACACACACACACCTCTTTCTCCCTCTGTGTTGGTAGGTGTGGATGACGGTGCCGACATCCCCAGGGAGCTGGTGGTAGGCATCTATGAAAGGATACAGCAGAAGGAACTCAAGTCCAACGAGGACCATGTCACCTATGTCACCAAGGTGGAAAAGTCCATTGTGGGCATGAAGACAGTAAGTATCCACCATGGAGCAGCATTTGCCTTGCGAGGGTCAGCTTCCTCTCCCATGTCTGCCAAGCCACGCTGTCTCCTACTCCCTTTCCTTTCTTCCTTCCTGGCATCTCCTTACACTCTGCTCCCTGCTTTTTAAAACCTTCACCTGTTGTGTTCCAGACACTTCTCTCTTGCTTAGTTTCCTCAGCGTCTCTTGCACCCGCTGTTGCAGTGTACGAGAGGGATGTGGGGCAGCTTCCGGTCCCCTTGCTGAGTGGCTAGCTCAGGCAGAAGGAGGAGAGCTGGGGACCAAAGCTGAGGCTTTCATGGCTTTCCTCTCCAAATCAGTGCAAGGCAGGCGTCTTCTGCAGTATAGCCTTTTAGCCAGCCCCGACTGGTTTGCAAATGAGTTGCTTTTCTTAGGCACTGAAGTAGATTTGCAATGTGGCTGTCCAAGAACTCCCCTTGCTGTTGCGTACTTGCATTTGGTGTGCAGAAAATAAAGTGTCTGAGATGTCACACGTGCAGACTGTCACCTGTGACCTTGGAGTGGCCTCAAGATCATAGAGGGGAGAGGCTTACAGCGTCTGGATTTGAACAATCTGAAAGCCTTTTGGGAATTTTCTTTTCCCTCCCCTTAATGTCCTCACTCACTCCAGCATAATAACCACTTCTCTTCTGGTTCTGCTTCCCAAAAAGCGTGATGAAAGGTAAAGAGCCCCAGATGAGGAGAAAGGAGGTTTGTGATCTTGTGCTGGTCCTGCTATAGGAACAGGACCCCCACTCTTTTCCCTGGGTCTCTGCATGGTGTTCTCCTCTGGAAAATGGGTGCCCTGGGGAAGGGATGCAGCCTGGAGGCGTCAGAGCTCCTTGCCTGGGTTCCAGGTACTGTCGGTGCCGCACCGTCGCCTGGTCTGCTGCAGCCGGCTCTTCGAGGTGACAGATGTGAACAAGCTGCAGAAGCAGGCCGCACATCAGAGAGAAGTGTTCCTCTTCAACGACCTGCTGGTGGTGAGCAGGGCGACCTAGGCTAGGGGCCGCCAGGGCGGGCTTGGGTGGGCCAGGTCTTCCGATACTATGAGGCCCCGCCCACTCGGGAACCAGGGGGCGGGGCCAGGGGCCTGCTGCACACAAACCTTAAAGGGGCCTGAGAGGGGCCTGGAGCTTCTAGAGGCATGGCTGTCTGCACAGTGACTAAGTCACTTTTTCTGATGCACCTGTCCATCGTGGGTGTGAGGTAGCTCAGCAGATTCCTGCTCTGTAAGTCATGAGGCACAGAGATCTTAAATGATTTGTTCATGATTAAACTTCCCGAAGGAAATGAAGTAGACCCCAGACCATCTGCCTCTCTGGGTTTCAGGAAATCTGGGCTAGGGGCATCCTCAGTCTTGAAGGGTCCAAGGGCCGTTGTGGAGCTTGACAATCCCTGGGTAAGGGTAGAAGAGGCTTGAGTGAGTGTGTGTGTGTGTGTGTGTGTGTGTGTGTGTATTTCCATCTATAGGGTGCCTTCTTTTCTCTTTGAAAATGGATATTCATTCAACCAATTTTTAGTCTGTCTCAACTATGTGCCTCAGCTATGTGCCGGGCATCGGTGTAAGGGCTGGGAAATGGGTGAAACAAGATTTGTCTTCCCCTAGTACTGCCCCATCCTCTGTCAATGAACGAGCCAGGAAGATACCACCAACCCTAGCATGACCCTGGCCTGACCCCCTCTCTCTACCTCCCTAGCCACCTTCTGGGCTGGCCCCCAGCACCTGGCTGACCTTGGCCACTAAGGTCCTCCTCCCACAGAGCAAGTATACAGCCCTTCTGGGGAGCACACAGACTCCTGTGCATAAAGAAATGTGGGCTCTCCCTTGGGTGCCTGGGTCCCCCGACATCTTTCCTTGCACACTCCCGGGCAGCCCTAGCACACTGGTCCCAGGAACTGCTGCCATCTTTGGTTATTTTTCTGGCAACTCCTTTGGCATGGCCACCTCCCTGCTTCAGAAAGTCTTGGTCCCATTGCTGCCTCCCAGGAAAGCCCTCCTGCCCGCAAGGCAAGGCAGCCCGCCAGTCACCTGCGGCTCCTAAGTCTATTTCTTTGGTTCCAAAATACTGGCCAGTGTCTGGAATGACCTTATTTACTCCTTTCTTACTTTCTCTTTTACTGTTGTGCTCCACTGACTGAGCGAGTCACTGTCCTCCTACACCACTGCATGAGCACTTTGGGGGTAGGGCTCGGTACCCACACTTTCCCCTAGGTCCAGAGCGCAGGTCTCAGGTAGAGCTGAATGAAGTGTTTCTGCACTGAGCAACTGGTTCGTGGAGTGCTGATTTTCATAGGGAATGGAGGCCAAACAGTAATTAAGGAAACAAGCGGACAGGACCGTATCAGATGGGGGAAGCAGCGATGAAGACAGTAAACCAGGTGACAGGACAGAGTGACTTGGTTTGCTTTTGATTTGTGCTTTTTATTTTTATTTATGTATTTAGTGCAGGGTCTACAGAGTCTCACTACACAGATCGGACTGGTAGTGATTCTCCTGTTTTCAGCCTCCCAAGCGCTAGGATTATAGGCACGCACCACCACATTCAGTTTCAATCACCTCTCAGCACGCCCTGGGGTTGGGGCTGGCACGGAACACTGGGAATTGAACTGCGGGCCCTGCATCGGCCTAAGCAGGTGCTTTAATCCGCTGAGCTATCTGGATTTGTGCTTTTTTAGATAAGGTGGCATAGGAAGGCATCTCTAAGGAAGTAGTATTCTAAGATGAGAGTAGTAAGTGTAAACTAAATTCAGCTGCATAAAAAGCTGCAGGGAGAGCTGTGGAGAGGGAACAGTGAGTGGAAAGGGCATGTGGTGGGGCTGAGCTGGCTTCTAGGAAGCTACAGAAAGGAGGACAGAGTGGCACTTGTGTAAAGGAGAAGCCAGATCTGCTATGGCTGGAAGGCCAGGGCAGGAAGTGGGGCCTGGCTTTTCAGTGCAGAGAGGCTTGCCCCAGTGGGCTTTGAGCCATGAGAGCACGTGTGTGTGCACATGTGTACACATGTGCCCATGAGTGTGTACATGTACATGTATCTGAAGTGCCCTTGTAGACATGTATGGGTGAGCTCACACATGTCTCCAGGTGATCGTGAAAGTGTCCTCACACACGTGTGCACGTTTATGTCCATTTTGAGTAGATCCTCAAACTATGTCCAAAGAAGAAGAGCGCCTCCACATACACCTTCTGCAAGTCGGTCAGCCTGCTGGGCATGCAGTTCCACCTCTTTGAGAATGAGTGTAAGTCCTGAGCAGAGGGGCCTTGGGGAGGCTGAGTGGAGGCTGGGGGTGGGGCAGGCCACGCGGACGCTGTCCCCTCCCACTGCCACTCACAGCCTGTCTGGGCCCCGGGGCTGGTTTCTAGATTACTCCCATGGCATCACCCTGGTGACTCCCCTGTTGGGCTCTGAGAGGAAGCAGGTGCTGCACTTCTGCGCCCTGGGCTCGGACGAGATGCAGAAGTTCGTGGAAGACTTGAAGGAGTCCATCGCTGAGGTGACAGAGCTGGAGCAGATCCGGATAGAGTGTAAGGGTGCGGGGCCGGGCTCTCTGAGGCCATGGGCAGGGGGCTGCTTGCGCCCAGGCAACTTTGACTTCGACACCATCGTCCATTCCTCCTCTACCCTGCTTGGATCCTCCTCCCTTCCCCAGCTGTCCCCATACCATCACAGGTGACATGGGTGTTTCTCTGCCATCAGATTAGGTGTACTAGGGCAGGCACATGTGTGTGCACATCCCATCAGGCACAAGGTGTGCTCGTGGGTCTCTTGTGACATGTCCGACCAGTATCTGGCAGCTGTAAACCCAAGAAGTCCATGAGCTGGAGGGTTTTTCCCCCTTCTGTCTTAATTACTTTTCTGTCATTGCTGAGATAAAATCCCCAACAGCCAAATTAAAGAGGAGAAGGTTTATTGAACTCATGGTTTGTGGAGGTTTCAGCCCATAACTGACTGGCTCCAAGACAGGGTGGCATGACAGAAGGGCGACAGTCCATGGTGGCAGAAGACAGCGAAAAGCAACAAGAGCAAAAAGGGAGGAGAGGGCGAGAAGGCTCTTTCTGGCCCTCATGTTACGTCGAGTATGGTGTATACCCCAGGGTGGGTGTGGCACTCCCACCCATAATCCCGGCATTGGACCATGAATCAATGACAAGCTCTAGAAGGCTTCCTCCATGACTGCATGAGGCTCTGAGGGGACATCTAGACCCAAACCATAACACCCTCCAAACCGTTTCTTGTTTTGTAGGCTTTGCCCTTTGGTAGTCCAGGTGCACATAATGCATCTGGTTGCTTTTGTTTCTCTGATGGCTTTTAATCTAGAACAGTCTCTCCACTTCCTTTTCTTTGTCTGTTTGAAGAATCCAGGCTGCTCAGGAACACTTGGTTTCTAGATGGTTCCAGCCCAGGCATTTTCAGAATCTAAATGGATCTCCTCATATGTCCGGGTGGTTCCCCGGAGCTGGTTTCCAGATTACTCCCATGGTATCACCCTGGTGACCCCCCTGTCGGGCTCTGAGAGGAAGCAGGTGCTGCACTTCTGCGCCCTGGTTACCAGTCACTTTGGGGTTTAAGAATTGAGCAGTGCGGTGTGCCATAGCTGGCCCTGCCCTCAGAGCACGCTGAGAGGGTGACTGAGACTGGGCATGCTGGTGCACGCCTGTGACCCCAGCACTGGGGAGGCTGAAAACAGGAGGATCACTACAAGTCCGAGCTGTGCAGTGAAACCCTGCAAAAAAAAAAAAAAAAGAACTGAGCAGTACTAGCTTATAAGACTGCACCATGCTGCAGACTTTTACGGTTAAGCATTACAGAGGCTTCCTATGGACTTGAAGAGGAAATTATGTAAGGATGGATTGAGAAATTAAGTGAAAAATACAAAGACTCTGCCTTTTGTAGCTGCTTAATTGAAGGGTGCCTCTAAATTAATGTAAGTGATTGGGCAATAGGGAAAGTAGTGGGGGATTTTAAGCAGATGGACAATTAACAGGACCGTGATGTTTAATCATGATTTTGGAGCACCTACGGGGTGATGAAGCTTATCTACACCCTGCTAGTCCTCGTAGTGACCTCGAGGTAGTTGCATTGAGTCCATCTGACACATTAGGCTCAGGGAAGGGGAGAGTCTAGACATACACACTCTAGTAAGAAGGCTCTAAGAATGTTCTTCTATACTACGGAAAAAGAACCAGAAAGAGCATTTACGTGGAGCCACTGCCATTCGCATTTCATGTTGGCTCCACGTAAATGTTCCTTCTGATTTTTTTCTGTGCTGAGCCTGAGGTTTTTCTCTATAGTTTCCTAAGAAAACTGTCGAAATCAAGGTAAAACAAAAGCTTACCAGATAGGACTCAGGTGACAGCTTAGCAGGGAGACGTTCAGGGCTGGCTCACCCAGGGCAGTGGTGTCATACACAGATACTGTTCAAGGGCCAGACTAGATACTCAGAGAGGCACCTTGGCTGTTGTTCTGGAATATTCTCAAGACTTCTCCTCCGTGCTGTCAGAATGTGGCAGGTGACTCCACACCACCCTGGGAAGCGATTGCATATCTCCTGACCCTGGCATTGATGCAGGAAGCACTTTTCTTCCCCCAGCCCTGGGGTAGACCATAAATCCCTTCCCAAAGTAACAGAGGAGCAGATTTTGGCAGAATCTGCTATGGCAAGAGTGGAACATTCTTTTCTGCTGGCCATAGAAGAAAAAAAAAAACAGGATATTTAGTTACTTCTTGTTGCAGAGGAAAAATACCTGCCAACTACAAGTTAGAGACACAAAAGTTTATTTTGCTTCACAGTTTGTAGAGGTTTTAGTCCATAGTCAGCTGGTTCCAAGGCAGAGCGACATGGCAGAAGGGCGTGGCAGAGGAAAAAACAGCTCACAGCATGGTGGGCTGGAAGCAGCAGGCGATCAAGAGCGGGTGAGATACACCCTTCTGGGCCACGCTTCCAACCAGGATGCACCTCTCAGCATTACACCCAGCTCTGAATCCCAGTGAACTAAGCCAGTTGCCTCGCTGTCTCTGTCTCTGTCTCTGTCTCTGTCTCTGTCTCTCTCTCTCTTTCCTTCCCTCCCTTCCGCTCTCTTCTCTCTTGTGCTAGGGATCCAACTCAGGGCCTTGTGCATGCAAGGCATGAGCTGTACCCCTAAGCCACATCCCCAGCCCAAGTCACTTCCTAAGAGCCCTACCTATGTTCATAGGAGACTTTGGGGGTGGGGGACACTAGCTATAAACCATAACAGGGACAAAGGCTAAAAGTTGGCTCTCGGTCTTCAAATAAAGAGAAAGGGAAGGAACAGCTGGTGGGGTGAAGAACTGGCCAAGAAGCAGGCAGGAGAAGGAGTCAGAACGTGAAAGAGAAAAAACAAAGCCAAGAGCAGTGACCGTATATTGGGCACTTACTATGTGCCAGGTGCTGGGCTGATGGCTAAATCCATCGTTTAATTCTCACAACCGCTCATGAGTACATATTATTCTCTTTATCGTATAAAGAAACTGAGGTGTGGTGAGTTCTCACAGTGACAGCAAGTGCCGCACCTCGGTCCTCTTTGACTCCTTATATGTAATTAGGATGCAAATTTATCCAAAGCCAAGAGGGCCCACTGGGAGCAGCTGGCATCTCATGTAAGTCAGATTCCACGGTCTGTGCTCTTTTCACTCTGAACCTTGGCTCAATAAAGGCAGCATTGATGAATAGTCGGAGGCCTGTGATCGAGACAGTTGATTTGGGTTCTGGTTCTGGGGTGAGGCGGGGCTTGTGGCGAAGTGTTCCTGGATTCTAGACAGCCAGAGAGACAGCAAACGGAACCCAGGAGAGTGGCTTTCATGAAAGGAGCTTGAGTTATGTCTCCTGGAACACAGAAGCTAGAGGAATGATTTAGTAATGACTGTCCAATAGCTGCCACTGACTGTCAGGTATCCAAGGATGGTGACTGGCAGTTTTCTGCGGCACTGAGAGAGTAAGAAGGAACACATTTCTAATTCAGGGAGAGGAGGTGTCCTGACCATGTGGGCCTTCAACCTGGACAGAGGCAGGACACAAGGGTTCTCAGCAACTGTGGACACACGGTCTTGCAGAAGGCACATGGGGGACCAGGTGTCACTAACTAAGAAAAGACCTGCATGCCACGCACTCATTTTCTTTCACAGTGCTGGGGACAGACCCAGGGGCTGGGCAAGTGTGCCACCACTGAGCCACACCCCCAGCCACCAAGTGCTCTTATGTGTTACTGTCTGAGCACTTGCTGTGGGCCGGGCCTTGTCCTATGTGCTTTCTGTGTATTTCCTCCCACCACTCTTCCTAATGGCCACCTTACAGCAGGGAGGGCCTCTCCTCCAGTGAAGCACAGACTGGTTGGGTAACTTTCCTCCCTCGTGCTAGGCTCTTCCACTGGTCTTGGACATTCAGTCAGGTCCCATCACTTCCATGTACAGATGGAGGTACTGCCGCTCCCAGAGCAGGCTCAGTGGGCCCTGAGGCCCCTGTCTTGCGGCATGCAGTGGGACTCCCCGTTCTCCTCTTGCTTGTCCTGCTCACTTCCTTTCCCTGTTCACATGCACAGTGGAGGTCAAGGTTCTATGTGCTCATGTTCTCCCCCTTCCATAGGGGAGCTGGAGAAGCAGCAGGGGACAAAGACACTCTCCTTCAAGTCCGGGGGAGCCCAAGTGGAACCACAGTCAAAGCAAGGATCGCCCACAGGTGAGCGTCAGCTCTGACATGGGCCCCAGCCCACAAAAGGCTGCTGGCAGTCCTGAGCCTGGCCTCTGAGGGACCTGGGTGAGAGATGAGCCCACTGTTCTAGTCATTTCTTTCCACTTGCCCGCTCTTAGCTCTCTTTATTCCCGTGGGCTTTAGAGATGACAATGAGAAGGGAAGTGCAAGGGAAGTGTGCCCGCTTGCACTTGGCGCCAGAGCTCTGGAGTCATGCGATGTGGCACTTCCCCCTGGAGGAATCAGGCCAAGAGTCCTGTCGTACTTAGCCAAGACAGGAGGAGCAGGGTAGGAAAGGAGGGCGGTCAGCAGGGTCTGGGCACCTCTTGTGGCCCTCATATAGAGTCCAGGTCTTTCCCTCACAAGACCCAGGTCCAGGTTAAATACCCAGAAATCAAGCCTCCAAAGACAATTTCTCAAATGGTTTATTCAAATTGAATTGTTCATTTGAGCCAAGTCAAACAGCTGCAGGTTTGATGTCCCCTTGGCCACAGTCCCTAGACTTGCTCCCCCAGCCCTCTGACATCCCCTGCTTTCTATCTGCTGCCCCAGTCTTGTCTGCCCCCCATAGAGGGCACAGATGATGCCACCATCCATCCCCCTTCCACCAGCAGCCCCCCAAAAGCAGTTAGAAGGAGCAGTTGTGGGAAAATTAAACTCCATCCGGCCAGAGCTGTTGGCTCACCAACTCAGTCACTTAGTTTCACAGTCAGCAAACGGTGCTGAATGTGTCCCAGCTGCCTTGTGCTGAGTGCCACAGGTCACAGCAAGATGCCAGTTTCAGCTGAGGAGCTCCAGAGGGCTCCTCGTGGCCCCAGACCCTCTACACTGGCCCTGATGCCAGCCCAGGAACTGGTCCTGCCTACTAGGACATGTGATCCACTTTCTAAGCACAGCGTGGGGCTCTTTGGCTTCATGGAGATTCTCATTCTGATGTCACCCTGGAAATGGGTGTCACTTGTAGCCGGCATCCACATTTCACCACCTAACCTGACTTCAGCAGCCCTTTGACTTTATAAGGTCAGGAAGTGGCGTCCACAGCTCCCTTTCACAGTTGCCTAGGCCCAAAGAGCCAATCCTCTGAGGTGATTTACTCACGTCTCTCGCCTGCAGCCCTGCTGGCCTCTCTTTAGGAAATGCAAGCTCCAGTCTCACCAGGAAGGTGTTGCCAGGGATCTGTCCATGAACTGCCTCTGCGGCAAGGTGTTTTTTCTAATTCCCAAAAGATGCCACAGTGCCCTCTTGTGCTTGGAAAATCGGGGGGCTGAGCAAAGCCAGGGAAGCTGTACGCCTCCTAGGGGGCTGGGAAATCAGAGGGCTCCTGCTGAGGATCAGCACAGGCCACAGGGTGACTTAGAAGGAGCCCTCAACCTGTCCTTGGGGCCCTGCAGGATGGGCAGAGTGCCTGAGCAATAGTCACAGACCTTACGGGCTCTGCCACGTACAGGCACTGTGGTGAGTACCGAGCCAGGCTGACGTCATCCAGTCCTGGAGGAGGGACACGTACAGCCCCTCCTTCAAGGACCCCAAAGCTGATCAACATGGTGCCCACAGTGCAGGCCCGCGCCCACCTCCTAAGCTGGCTTCTCCAGACCTTCTTGGGAAGGTGTTGTGAGACTTAGTGAGGAATGCCAACATCAGAAAGCGTGTCGTCAGAGCCCTGTTAGTCTATGGAGGCCCCAAGAGGCGCAGCACCTTAGCCAAGATAGCTCAGCCAGCTGGCAGAGGTGGGCTCCCTGCTCCTGGTCTCCTGAGCTGGGCTACCCCTCAGTGAGGCACATGTGGCACCCACAGTGTGACTGCGCATCCCAGCTACACCGCAGAGGTGTGCGGGAAGGAGGAGGAAGAAGAGGAGGGCGGGGGAGGAGGAGGAAGAGGAGGAAGAGGAGGA